TAGATATTTCCAGTGTCAATACACTTGCCGCTGCATGAGACACTAATTTGTCAGGATGTTTTCCCCTCTATTAAGCTGATGGCTACCTCTCTAAAAATAATTCCTCATTAGAATCTTCAAGAAAATAAATGAATAAATGAATAAGTAGAGGGAGAGAATGGAAAGAGAATGGAGGCTATAAAACACATCTAATTCCTCTTTTATGTTAATGTCCTTTAATCATGTGATGTCATCTAAGTCTGAACTTGCAGGCTGTGCATTCCCATATCCTTCCATATTTTTCAAAAGACATGGATTTAATACTGCCATTTTCTGTGTGTGAGAGAGGCTTAAGGTATTCCAGGTGTGATCTGAGCAGTGTAGAACAGAAATTATTGTTTCTCCCTTCACTTTCGTACATGAATTTCTATAGCCTAGGCTGGATTAAGTTTCTGGCAGGCATATCCCCATATTGACTCTTGCAAAGCTTACCCTCAACTAAAACCATCAGGCAAATTTTTCATATATTTGGTATTAAGTCAAACCTTCTACATCCTGTGTTTATACAGCTCATTTTTGGACCTAAACACAAGACTTTGCATTTATTCCTATTAAGTTCCTTTATATTTGATTCAGTCCATTGTTCCAGATGATTCTGTCATCGGACACATTGTCAACCCCTGCAGCTTTTTGGAATTTGAAATCTGATCAATAGGCACCATCACTGATGCCAATGCTCAGCAAGCCAGAGTTAAAAATAAATTTTTAGGAAAACTTTTTTCTTGCGAGCTTATATTGTTGGAATATTCATTAGGAATCTTTGGGTGTAGTTTCTCAAATAGCTAATAATCCTCTAGGCTTAGATGATCTAGTGTATATCTCTCTGTATTAGCCACAGATTGTGAGACAATGCAATACTAATGTCCAGGAGAGTATTGTTACTCTTTGTGGAGTACAAACAGGGGTTTTCAGCCTCCACACCATTGGCAGTTTGAGTCGGATAACTCGTCATTTGAGGATGGGAACTGTCTTATGGTTCTAGGATATGTAGCCGTATTCTGGGCTTCTACCCAGGACATGGCAGTAGCAACTCACTCCCCACACCCCCCTCCAAAGCTTTGGTAATCAACAATGTCTCAAGACACAGCCAAACGTTCCTTGGGAAGCAATTTTCTGTCCTTCATACCCCTCCTCCAAAGAACTGAGAATCACTGTTCTAGACTCTTTAATCTAATAACTCAATCCACCAGTTGTAGGTTTTTGACCTTTTGATAGCTACAACTGAGTTTCCCTTGTGGCTCAGACAGTAATGAGTCTGCCTGCAATGCAGGAGACCCAGGTTCAATCCCTGGGTTGGGAAGATCCCCTGCAGAAGGAAATGGCAACCCACTCCAGTATTCTTGACTGGAAAATCCCATGGATGGAGGAGCCTGGCAGGCTACAGTCCATGGGGTCACAAAGAATAAGACACTACTGAGCGACTTCACTTTCACTCATAGTTCTAGCTGTGAATAAGATATTCATATATGTCATCAACACAGTTCTGTATTAGGAGCTAGATACACAGGCAAATTAAAACAAGATATGGAAATAATAAGAAAAATAGTGAGAGGAATGGAGAAGAATGATATAACCCTAAAGTTTAGAGTTAAGGTTAGATTAACCGTTGGGTCAAACAGTTACAAGGAAATTGAACCTTCAAATTATATGATTTAAGAGGTAATCTATGAGGACTTTTGTACCTGGATGCTCACCAAGGTATGAACACTGAAAACATGGAAATGTTCTATACATTTGAAGATAAAAGAGGATAAATATATGTTGATATGTTGATCTCACAGGATATTAGGCAGTCATCAAAATGACATGATTTCAAAACATTAATGACATTGGGGAATGCTCAACATAATAGGAACTCTGTGAAAAAAGTAAAATACATATGGTATGAATACCAAATATAGTAAAAAGATCATAAAAATATTAACAGTGGTTATGGAATTATGGTAGAATTTTGCCTGATTTTAATAATCTTATTTACACTTCTTATGTTTCCAAAAGTGTCTTAATAAACTTATTGTCTTTGTAAGCTTTGTGCGCATGGGGGTATGGGTAGGGAAAGTGATTCATATTCCCTTAGGTGAATGAGCACTGCCAAGTGTTCCTCTTTTGTTTGCAAAAAGCATGCAAGTAAGGTAGGATGCCTCAGAGAGGGCATGTAAGAAAAATGGCAACATTTTTAGACTGAGTTATTTAATCCTCTTGAGAAAAAAAAAATCCGTATATCATTTTTTATAGAATGAGAAGAGCTTAATCTAATGTTCCAGCTAAATCCTGTCCCCCAAACTCAGTGTTTCTCAGACTGCTAAAGAATCGCATTGAGCATAAGTATTAAACCTAGATTCCTCACCTCTAACCCCCAAGATTCTGATTCTGTAAATCTGGTGTGTCAGGAATTCTCATTTTTCCACAAGCTCCCCAAGTGATTCATTCTGATTCAGGTGTTCCATAGGCCAATCTGAGAAACATAGATATCTATAAGAGGTCATGTGTTTTGATTTGGATGAGTATTTTTTTCCCCCTCTATTTTTGATAATTTCTTCCTGCTATACGCTAAATAGAATTGGTATAGACCCTCAGTGGTGTGTTAGCAAGCTGGTTCTTTGAGAAAACAAACCCAATTTACCATCATTTACCAGTTTCTGTGGTGTAAACACTTCCACCAAGAACAATTTCAAGCTACCAATGGTTTAACAAGAAGCTCACATAATTCTTGAAAGCTTAGTAGTCATCTTTCACAAATTGATACAGGCTGGTTTCAGCAATGTACAGTATGTATTTTACTTAAGTGTTTTAAACTCTTTGAGAAAGGGATATGTTAATGAAAAGCTATTATATCTATGACAGCTAGAATGAAGCAAGTAAGCAGTTGGATGGCTTAAATCCTCTTTACAGAATAAATTTCAAATATATTAGGAAAAACTCCACTTTGTGAACTTGTATACACTGTTTCCTATTTTATTGTATTTTTTTCCTGTGGCCAGGCCATGACAAGAACATTTGCTGAGTTCTTTAAGAGTTGTGAATTGGTTTCCTATGGATGATAGAGAGCCAAGAAATGGGACTCCAGGGTTGAGAGCGATGCCAAATGTTCAGCCTTTACCTTTGCCCTTTATGGTGCTCAGCCCCTGAGCTGTTGAAATGTCCTTGGTCATCAATTCTACAGCACCCAACCATAAAATCAACTTCTACTTCTTCCCCTCATAAATGATTGAGACAATGTTGTCTCTAGGAAACCCGTATCAGATGTGTTTTATGTGTTCATGTGCGGGAAGTGGACTAAGTGGGGGCTAATAGTATAGCTCTTTAAATATTTTGACCAGACATATTTTAAGAAAATTGGACCTGAAACCTATATAACCAGCGGAGGTGAATTTACAGTCCCAATTTTAAGAACAAAGCTCCCTCAGGCACCTGTTTCCTAAAGGCAAACCCAGAAAGGAAATGAACATTTGCTTAAAGACAGCTCACCTTATTTTATGAGTTATCAATTTTCTATCTGGCACAGGATTCCCTAGCTACTAAGAGGAACACCCCTCTTCAACCCCAAGCCAGCACTGAGCTGCAAAAAATGTAAAGTCTGCATTCTAGAAAATAGCTTAGTTTCCTGAAGATGAGGCAAGAATGTGGTGCTTCAGTAAGTGAAATCAGGGGAGCAGCAAAGATCTACGATGGGGACTCACCACACAGATGTCTTTGCCAATAGATGCATTAAAATCTTAGCCTGAATTACATTTTACATTACAGGATTACTGAATCTTGGATTATGATGGAGAATTCATTTTTCTTCTCTTTGGGGCAACTCTGACATGTGAATAGTCAACAACAATGGAAAGCACTTGATTTCCTTTTATCTGCTCCACTGACCCTGAAACTGAGCTTATCAACCTCTCAAAAATGAGAAAGGACTAAATAGCATTTTTTTCTTGCTATTGATAAAGTGAGCCTTCTCAATGGGAATAGACCACAAGATAGGGGTCAAAGGTTAACAGTTGGTACTCTTAGCATGCTCTGCACTAGAAAACACAATGAATAAGAAGTATGATTTTCTTAGTACACAAGCTAGAAAATTAAAATAAGTACAAGTACTGACTTTTTAAAAACTGCAAAAACTATTATTACTAATAGGCAAGGAAAAAGTTGCACAAATCTGAGGTCATGCAGGATCAAGTCAGTATCAAATACTTAGTTATAGAATAATCTCAGTCTTTCTCCAAGCTTCATCTAGTTGTGAAGGCAAAGAATTTTCAGGAGAAATATGAATATTCAATTACATGTTTCAAAGTCAGACATTTATACATCTACTTGGGGTAAGTGCCAGAGCTAACATCAAAGATATGTGAAGGACTTCTTGTCTAAATGGAACATTAAGCTCCTTAAAAAGGAGAATTCAGCCCTTGCAAACTGTCATTTTTTTAGTAAATGAAACCGACCCTTTCACAGATGGGCAACATACTTTGTAACTTGCTGATGGCATAATAAAAGACACTGGCTTTTTAAAAATGAAGGGCATGTACTTTTCAAATTATAGTACCCAAATGGGTTTAACAGAATAAAATTAAGAAGGCATACAACAGCTTGACAAAAATTAAGAACAGACTATGGAAATTTGATAGCTCTAAACATCAATATTCAAATGACCTTAAAAAAAAAAAAAACCACCTCCTTGTTTAAACCATGTTTAAACCACAGGGAACATATGCATTTATAGAGTCAAAACTAGGGATAGCACATTTCAGAATTATAAGTACTGATAAAATAAAAACACGAAGTCAATTTCTTCTCAAAATATAATAAAAATTCCCCAGAAAGGCAGATTCCATTTATATCAGGTATCTCTCCTTCTGCATCAGTCAACCTTTATGCATTTTAAAATAAGATTTCTCCAGTTGACTGATACAATAACCAAATTAAACATAGACCATGCACAAAAATGAAACAAGAGGCTTATCATTTCTACTCACCTCTCACGTTCTTCTTTCATTTTTTCCAGTTCCTCTTCTCTCAGGCCACCCTGCTTCGGAGGACCTTTCTGCTCTGCCTTTCCACTCTTATCATCTTTCTTCTTTCCAAATCTAATGAAACATGGAGAAGATGATAATGATAAGCATGTTCTTTTGTGGTAAGCTGTAGATATTTATGAGATGAACTCATTAAAGTACAATTCTTTAAGCAATAAAAAATCATTTCGCATACAATGGAAGTAAAAATAAGATACTTAGGGCAGAAAAATAATACAGTTACTGAAGTCCCCTCCCACTTCTCTCTTCCTTCTTTCCTTCTTTCTTTCTACTTGGCTATTGATTGTACAGTCTGTACAAAATCATGTGATTAAAGACTAAAAATTTCAAACCACTGATTGAGTGGTGATTAAAGCATTGAAAAGTTGTCATTAATATATAGCTAAAACCTAACCGACCTCTTAAAGAGGCCTCTAGACTGCCAGGTGGCATTGGCATTGAAGATTAAACTCATGAAGTTATACAGTGATGGTGCTGGCAAAGGACTTTACCAACACAGAGTTCAATGTTCTAACCTTACAAATGAAGAACTAAAACCTCAGAGAGGCCTTGTTCCTTAAACAAACCCAAGTTCAAGGCAGGGCTGGGATTAGCATGTGGGTCACCTCCTACACTGCACATGTATCTTCTGGCCACACTCACTCTCCACGTAGCCACATGATTCCCAATTCAGCCCTGAGTCAGCATGCTCTGAGCACTTCTTGGTGCTGGGCAGATGTGTGGTTACTGGCCACAGTGCTAATTTTACTTTCTCCCCCATCTTTAAGGAGATAATTCACATAACACTGTGTGAGTTTAAGGTGTACAATGTATTGATTTGATATACATTAATTAAAAAAGAATTACAGCCAAAATATTAGCTACACCCGATATCCTGTCCCATAGTTAGCATTTCTTTTTTGTTGTGAGAACATTTAAGATCTGCTCGCTCAGCAACTACTTGATACACCACTATCAGCTATAATCACCATGCTGTACATCAGATCCCCAAACTTGCTAATCTCACACCTGGAAGTCTATACCCTTTGACCAACATTTATTCATTTCCCAAACCCTGATAACCACTATTTTACTTATTTCTCTGAGTTTGTTTTTTTTAGATTCCACATGCAAGTGACATCATATCGCTATGTGTCTTTCTTTCTCTGACTTATTTCACTTAGTATAATGCCCTCAAGATTCATCCAAGTTGTCACAAATGGTAGGATTTCCTTTCTCATGACTAAATAATATTCCATTTTGTGTGTGTATAAATACATACAATCATATGTGTGTGTGTGTGTCCATTTTGTGTGTGTATAAATACATACAATCATATGTGTGTGTGTGTGTGTGTGTGTGTGTGTGTATCAAGCATATCTTCTTTATCCATTCATCTGTTGATGAACACTTAGGTTGTTTCTATATCTTGCCTATCATGAATAATGCTAGGCAACAATAATGCAACAAATTTAGGAGTACAGATATCTCTGAGAGATCCTAATTTCAACTCTTTTGGATATATATCTAAAAGTGAGATTGCTGAATTATATGACAATTCTAGTTTTAATTTCTTGAGGAACCATTCATTGCTTTCAATAGTGGCTGTACTAATTTGTACTCCAAACAAGAATACACTAGAGCTCCCTGCAATTATGGTAAAAGAACTTGGTGTTTCCTTAGCATTTTTTTGGAAAATGAAACTGCAAATTTTAAATTTAAAAAAAGCTACAATTAATTATTGGTCTTTTATATTCTTAAAAGACAGGCATTTTTCCTGATAGATACTTTCTTTGGAAGCAATCTCCCATAACCTTGGTATTAACACAAATGAAAAATGAAAATGACCGGATGCTCTGCTGAGAACCAGGATAAAAGTCATTATATTATGCAGACTTCAGCTAAGGTAAAGACTCTTCTTAAATCTAAGGGAATCCCAGTTGTCCCTTGTTTCTTACTAGATAGCTACACATTTTAACTCTGTGAGTATGCATTTATATCTTTAGCTTACTCATCCTATCTATGTATCCATCGATCCTTCCAGCTGAATAACCTGAGGATATTTCTCAAATTACACAGCTTGGTTGACTGCCCCTCCCCCACTCCCATACCTGTGCCCCAGCCTTTCAACACATTTATAGAGAGTCAGAATCTCCTCACAGGAGGACCTAAATCATAAACTCGTAAGAAACTCATTTCCTTCAGAAGTTCATAGAAGTGGCCTAATATTTGTCTCTTTCTGGATTGTGTTTCGAACCAAAGCAGAGATTGTTGGTCAAGTGGCAGCTCTGAGTATAACACGTGGAAGATGGCACTGCTAACATTCACAGTCATGGTGTTATTCAAGAACAGGCTGCATCCTGCTTTCTGCAGAAGCCTCTCCCAGCCTGGACTTTTCTGTATATTTTTTTGTTATAATTTCAATTAGCAAATTCTCTTTCGTGAGTTTCCTGTCTCCCCACTGCCATCTCTCTGTCTTTGCTCCTACTGCAGTGCTTCTGCTACATCCAGTCTAGTCCGAGCGTTTGGGTTGGTTGCCCATCAGTTTTAATTCCATCATTCCCGGCCTTATTTCTTTTACTTTTTCCTCTTTCTTGCATCCTTTTCTGAATATATTCCTCCTTCTCACGGAAGAAAAGACTTGATCCCATTCATAGGAGTAAACAGAGAAGAGAGAAAAACTAGACAAAATGTAAAAACATTAACTTTCAGATCATTCAGATTTGTTAATATATTCAAGATCTCTCTTTAACCTACAAAGCAGGCGATATCTAAATAATGTGCTTCCAATCTCTCTTTAACCTACAAAGCAGGCGATATCTAAATAATGTGCTTCCATGAAAGCATTCTTTGGCTTTTTGGATCCATGAAGAAGAGTCTTAGGGATCAACATTATTACTCTAAATTCCTTTATGTGAGAAGTTAATACTTTAGTACATCACTTAGAAAAACAGGTTTCCCTCAAAATGTCACCAAATAAACTAATATTGAAGCAAAAAACCATCAAAATTGTGGGGAGTGAGGGTAAAATAATGACTCAGGAAGTTGATGAAGACAAAAATATTGCCAAGATCTCTATAGATTTTAGGCTTGCTTTTCTGCTACATCTCAAATATTTTCTTCTAAATTTGGAGGTTTTAGATTTTCTGAGATGAAAGTAGTGTCATTTTCGAAGGGTAAAATGAACTTATAACCTAGTTGACTTTAATCTTTAGTATCACAACCAATATACTGTTTTCTCCTTCCTGTGGCCGAAGTATTTCACTTGTACTGCAGTTTGAGAACAGCTTATTACACTTCCATTAGAGTGGGATATGTTTGACAAAGAAAAGGTTGAAAAAGTGAAAGTGTCAGTTACTCAATCATGTCCAACTCTGTGACCCCACAGACTATATGGAGCCCACGAGGCTTCTGTGTCCATGTAATTTTCCAAGCAAGAATACTGGAGTGGGTTGCCATTCCCTTCTCCAGCAGATCTTCCCAACCCATGGATGAAACTTGGGTCTCCTGCATTGCAGGCAGATTCTCTACTGTTGTAGCCACCAAGTTAGTTGTAAGTAAATTCTGCCAAGCATTTTCTTCTAAGCAAAAACTGTCAATAATAGTCAACTCAACCAACTCTATAAATATTATAAATATTTTGATTTAAAGTTCATGATCATTTATTAAAGTTTCTAGTAAGAAGAGCTGAAAGAGCTGTGAAATTTATTTAATTAGATAGAACAGTTACCAATTATCTTATTTTGTAAAGTTTGGGTAGGTTCAAGAACAGAATTATAAGACAATGATCTTCAAAAGGGCTCCCACATTGTTAAGATGAGGAAATTGAGGCTCAGAGAAGTTAATTGCCTTTTATTTATTAACACACTGAATTCTTCTTTCCAGTATAGCAGTCAGACAACTTAATTATCAGTGATGGCAGTGGTGGTGGTGGGAGTCGGGACAAAAGCATCAATTTAGTGAATTTTACAGGCCCTTGTTCTCCTTTCATGCAGCCTCTTTTGGGGGTCATTTCATATCCATTCTTACTTTCACTGACATAGAGAGAGGAGTTGGGGAGATTCAAATACATTGATTCATCTCTCCATTAGCTGTTTTTGTGAGAAAAGTCATGCAGACCTTAAATGGTTGAAATTACTGCTTTGCATTCTAAGGTTTCAAATATCCACCGCATTCCAGGCCTCCATTATCTATTACCTAGGAAATTTGAGAGTTGGCCATTCTGGGCTATGTTCCTTAAGGAAATTGCTTATAGGTCAACCTTGCTTTATATAAAAGATATTTTCCTGAAGAATTCTGTGCAAACATATGGTTTTAATCAATGAAATCGTACTTTCTATGTACCTGGGAAGCCTGTTTAAAGAATCTTATGATGGATCTTTTCATAAAGTGGAAAAATCACCTTTCAACATATTCTTTATGTAAATTTAGATTTTCATGAATTATAAGTTTGCTTCAAACACCTGTTCCTGTTTATTTTTACAGAGAGGTTATATGAATAAGCTTCATGGAAGACTAGCTTGCTTGCTTTCTTCTTCTTTCATTCATGCATTTGTTTTAAAAAATATTTCTTAGGCATCTCTTCTGTGTCAGACATTGTCATAAGCACTGGACGTAGGTTGATATTGTACTGGGATACAAAACCAGACACTGCCCTCATAAAATTTACATTCTGATAGAGGAGACAGTCACCAAACAAGTATGACTATATAGGTTGTGAAAAGTGCTATGCAGGGAGTTAGGATAGAGAGTAGCAGGAAAGTGACTGGTTGGGGAGGTATTTAATGAAGAAATGACATTAAAACCATAGCAGTAAGGGGGAGAGATTTCAGACAAGCAGAGATAGGAGCTAAGCCTGTGGATGAAGGAAGAGGACATGAGGAGCATGATGCCTGGTGCATTCTGAGCAGTGAAAGAAGGCCAGTCTCCAAAGCAAGGAGAACAGAGAGGATCTTTGTATAAGATTTGGATGGAAAGAAGGGCAAGATCCTGGGAGTGCAGGTCTGAGAGATGCTGAGAGTTTATTATAAGAATGACAGTGGGTAATTTTTTAGTGGTTCAAAGAACAGAGACGCTAGTAAGGAAACTGGTTGATTTAAAGAATTGGTAGAATAGCAACAAAGGAGTAACCAAGTCATTTTAAGGAGATGTGCTACAAAGCTGTGCACGTTTAAAAAAATAATCCTGGTTGCTCAAGTAACTGTACCACATAAAAGCAGGAAAGCTGCCTGGGGATGGCTATCGGAGTGTGGGTGAAAGATGATGGTGGCTTGGATGACTGGGGGCTGCTGAGAAGAGAAGACAGCGATTTGAAGATGACGGGCCAATGCAGAGACAATCAGAAGTTCACGTCTAAGTACGTTTTTTTAGTGCCTTTGGGAAATCCAGATGGAAAAGCTGAGGACAAGGACAGAGCCACGGGCACTTTAACATTTAAGCATTGGATGGTATACAAAGCAGACAGAACAAGCACAGTGAGAGAGATATCTTTCCAGATAAAGAAAGTTAGGAAGATGCGGAGTAGGACATCTGAGAGAAGAGGGCTGGGAGGAGGAGGACATGGTCGACAGATGGGAATACTGTTGAGAAGTCCAGGGAGCTGATGACTTGAAAAGGTCCATTAGACCTGGCAATCTGAAGGCAGTCATCACCCTGGCAAGGTTCAAGGGTGTGATGTGAGCAGAAACCAGGTGGGAGTGATCTTAAGAGTGAATGGCAGGTAAGTACAAAAGTGTGTGTCTCTGCGTGTACAACCATTTCAGGAGGTTTGGCTGGTAGGGT